GAAGGACATATCCTGGTCAAAAATGACTCCAAGGTTCCTCACAGTGTTACTGGAGGCCAAGGTAATGCCATCCAGAGTAAGAATCTGGTTAGATAACATATTTCTAAGATTTTCAGGGCCGAGTACAATAACCTCAGTTTTATCTGAATTAAGAAGCAGAAACACATGAACAGCTCTACCTATCTTAAGAACCAAAGCGGACATAAAAGAAGTAAAAGAAAATCACCAGACATGCATGTGAAGCTGACTTTGAAGGAAAAACCACCCAATTAAGGTGTTCCCGGAATGTTTTAGTCGCAAGTTGTACAATATATATACAGTATATATAGATGCACAAATTCTTTGTATTTGTCAGCTCTTACCTGGCTTTAGGTTCCTTCAGGTTCGCTGGCAGATGTGGCTTAGCACCAGGAATTGGTGGAGGGGGCTTTGCAAAAGTGGGACGTTTTTCTTCTGCCGAAGGACCTATAGAAGCAATGTATGTACTCCTTATATCTTTTGAGTGTGAGCTGTCTGGATTTATTTCATTAGCAAGGAAGATGTGGTTCTGACCTCTTTTTCTGTCCTCTAATGGAGGCAAAACAAAATTCTGGAAAAGGGGAATAAATGTTACTGCTGTGTCATACCTGTAAGTTTAATTTCAAACACTGGAAATGGGAATATGGGGTAAGAATTTAAAACTCATCTTGTATCCTGACAGCTTACTTTAAATCAGGACCCAGCTTAGCATAAGGAAATTAAAGATGAAGCACAGAGATTAATAGACACACTCACAGACTTATCTCTGGGGATTGAAGGCTTCTTCCTGCAGACAGTGAGAGGGCTAATGTTTATTGCATATTTACTACCAGGACTTTAAAACATAATTTCCCTATTATAAATACCATATTTGCATTAAAAACACACACACACATGATTGTCCAGAATGCACAGCTATAAAGACATATTGTATCATAGCTTGCCTGCAAATAGGATGAAAGCTGCTTTGAAACAGAGTGAGATGAACTTACAAGGGTATTTGAGCAGGTGCCGGTGTCCTGGGAGACAGAGGCATCTTCATGGGCCCACGCGGGGGAGGAGAGCAAGCTGGAGAGAGGGGGGAAAGTAAAAGTAACTTCCAGTTTTCAAACACTTTCATATAAATTTGTAATCAATGCCTCAGAACTATTGCCTATGTAGTGTGTATGAACTTACCTGCTTCTGGTTCTAAATAAAGGTCATCATCGTCGTCCTGTAACGCAAACCAACAAATATGATATGAAAAGGGGCATTAACCTTCTCCATACAGAAGAAAACATCAAATTACATTCATGCAGCTGTGCAGGTATTATTGGCTTTTGGTATTAGTGACTTATCTAAGATTTAATGTTCATGTAAATGTTTGTCTAGGCATGGTTAGCTCTGTTGCTTCACACTAAGACAGTCCGGAGTTTGACTCCACCATCTGACCGGGACCTTTCTGTGTGGACTTTGTATGTTCTCCCCATGTTTGTGTGCGTTCTTTCTGGCTACTACAGAGAAACATGCAGTTAGTGGGTTTAGGTTATTTGGTGATTCTAAGTTGCCTATGGGTGTGAATGTGCGTGCGAATGGCCAGGTCCTGTGACACACTGGCGACCTGTTCAGGGTGTACCCCGCCTCTTCCCCTATGGTAGCTGGGATAGGCTCCAGCCCCAGAATATCCATCCATCCAGAAGAAGATGCATGGGTATTGGTACATTTATGTAGTTGTTGGTGCAGCAAAAGACAACCGACTGCTTATAAAAAGGCCCTTATGAAACAACAGCCCCCTCTGAGTGCAGACATGTCGTGGGTGACTCCTTGCACCTCCCACACACACTCAAACTGACACTCTTTTGTGTGTATATTATTACACACAAAAGAAAAAGAAAACATAATAATGTTAAAGTCACCGGTTCTTCAGTTGGATCCAGGTACACATCTGAAATGCAGAAAAAAAGACTACTAGTGATCTGTGTTGCCATATCACAAATATACAGTGGTGATGCTTACCAGCATGTGCACACAGAATGAAGCACCTATTCAGTAAGTAATTAGAATAATCCTTAACCTCCTAAGACCTGAACTCTTCCACGGCATGCATTTTTAATTTCTCTTTGATATTTGGGCATATTGGGGCCCGGTGAATGTAAAAACAAAGAATTATCAGGTTGTTTGTTTTTTTTTACCTTATTTTTGTTTTTAAGAAAAATAAGAGCCACATCTGAGGATACTCATTTAAAATTTTGATAGAACAGTAGCAGTATAATGTCCTCGTTAGTGGATGTCAGGCCCTTGCAGAGCAAAATTGAGTATTTTGGTCTAAATAAGCCAAAATGTGATGTGCACATATGTGGACGCCAAGTAGGAGCTTAAGTTAGTCGTCTGTTTACGACACAGCACCAGCAATGAAAGTGACTACCGCAAATCTATTTACCTATGTAACATACTTAAAATACGCAATATTCAAATGAAAAATAGGCCTGTTTAAATTTTCAGATTTTTTTTTTCTACTTCACTAAATATTAGCATCAACATCCTGGTCGTTTTCCCATTTTACACAGCAATCAATGTCAGCTGAAGCTCTTCGTTTCCATAAGAGATGCATCAATACAAACTGGGGTGAGAAATGGAAAAACCCATTCTGCTTAAAAGCATTGTAATCATGCCCCAACCCAAAATTATTAAGAGAAAACACCGTATGTAATATGATTCATATAATACTGAGAAATATCTTTATATTTGAGTGAATGTATTTGAGTGTAGATTGAAAGGAAAAAAAAATTGAGATATTCATAATTTTGAAATGCAGAAGATTGTTCTGAGGCCTGCAGTATTTGGGTTCTTGCATGTTGTTTTGTAGTGTTTAATGTGCAGCTCAGTGGCACTACAGCAGGTGGCACTCTCCTCTTTGTTTTGCTCACAGCTCCAAATTATGTTGCTGCTGAAAACATCAAGCACAGGCTACAAGTGTTTGGCAACCTGAGTTTATCAAGCAGCTTCTGGAAATACCACATGGCTAATAAACTCATAAACATAGTATAGTCTTCATTATTATTATAAGAAGTAGTAGTAGTAGAAGCACCCATATCACCCCTTAAAGAATCTTCCTCACAGTCAGTTTTCACTCAGTTACACTCTGGTGCACTCTTCCTTTAAAATAATACTTTGTGTTGGTGCTGACTACCTTCCTCTACAGGGACTGTCTGAAGCGGCATCTTCTTCTTCCCTGGCTTATCACTTCTAATGACCTCAGGTGCTGGAGAGAGATAAATGTATTTATGTGATTCATTAAAGTACACAAATGAAAGCGTAAAAATGTAGGGGGAAAAAAAGGACTGATGAAATTTTAAAAAATCATCAAACAGAGCTGAGTTACTTACGTCTGCTGACGGCATCCTTCCGTTGCGAAGGTTTCCGAATGAAAAAAAAACACAGTTACAACATGGTAAAACATCTATGTTGACAGGCACAAAGAAATAGACCCTGAGCTTTTATTACCGAGGATTTGCTCGGTCTGGGTGGAGGTGCAACCTGTCTCGGTGTTACACCGGGTTTGGAAGTCCTCTCTGCAAAAAGCAGAAAGAATTTCAGGGGAAGAGACAGTGTTTCACTGTCTGTGGTATCTGTGCTGAAGTTTGCCAGACTCAGATGTTACCCAGATAAACGTTCTCCTCCACTGCTCTCGGTGGCACTTTGACAGCCGGTCGCTCACAGGGAGGAGCTTCATACATGTCGTTGTCATCATCCTGCCGTGAGAAAAGGTTGGTAATCTTAACAATCTTAACAATTATTTCTAAACAAACTATAAAACTTTTAGCAGTATGGCTGCCTTGAGATAGACTGCTGTTCTGTTCAGTGTGTACCCTGCTCTAATATTGTAAAGCTATTTAGTTTTATCATGATAAAGCATTGCTGTGTATTGTTATTATTGAGACCGGGATGTCTGCTTGATTGTGCGTCAGCTCCCTTCACAATACGTATTGTTTTTGGCCTATAGAGATTGACAGACCACGTGACTTTCGCGCATTGCATGCCGGGAACTCGTGGCAAAACAATCCAAGTACCGCATCAAATGCAAGCATTTGCAGCACCGCAAAACGTTCATTCTCCGGTTCCAATACCTTCTTGCTTTTTCTTTGTCCCCCAAAAAAGTTATGTACAAAACGAAGGAGAACAATGCCGGTCCGTACGAAGACAGACTTGATGAAAAGTCAAAGAAAATATACGAGGAAAAAATCAGTACTTAAATCCTGCCCCTAAAAATATCCAAAACTTGAATGAAAAAGTACAAAAATATAACAAACCTATTATAAACCACAGACACGCAATTTAAGAACTTGTTCTCTTCCTACTTACAAATTCATCCTCCGGCCACCCATATGCTGCATTGTTATCTGTAGGACACAAACATATATGAATAAACATAAGAGATGTACAAAAGGCATCAAAGCAGCTTTAATAAAGTGAAAACAAATCCCACCCGTCCTCCTAGGAGGAGCTGGAGGTCTGAAAGGATGAAGGGAGAAAAGACATGGACAGTGGATACTTTAATACAATAAGCTTTTAGCAGGAAAGAATGAGAATGAATGCGGTTTCTGTCTTGGTCATGATACTCACAGGTTCTTCAGTCTTCCAAAGAAACTCTGAAAAACACCAGAAACCACAGAAATTAGTGAACAAATACCCAGATTTCATGAGACGAGTAGATGCAGAGTGACAGAAACACAGATATTTAGCTGTCTCTATGTGACACGGCCCATTATTCTTAAACTGTATGCCTAGCTAATAATGATTTACTTTCAGTTACTTATCAGCTTCATCTGTCTGTCTGAGTCAGTTTCCCTCTTTAGATAAGGTCACATAACAATGGAGCTTTATTTGGTGCAGAAAAGGAGACAAAAACACAGTACAAAATAGCACCTGAGGTATCACTGTATCATTTTAAACAGGATGTAAATACTTCAAAATGTTTGTAGGGTATGTTTTTGTGGTGTAATTTACTCTCAGAGATATATTAATTTTTTATCTGCCAATATAATATATGAAAATACAGTAGGATAGGACACAGTTCTGTAAACAATCATATAAGAATATCTATCTTTTAAAACTTCCCAACATTAAATAAAGGACATAAAATTGTCTTTTTGTAATTACCTATAAGCGCTTTCACTGGCCAAGCATACACTATAGGACATTTCCTGTTTTTTTCTGTACACATTAGATAATTATTATATGACATAATTTGCTTGATAATCTAAAGCTGGTTTTTCTTCTTTCCTGAAATGTGCCTCCTTTATTGTCCATAAAGCCCATGATTACAGAACACCTGGTGTATTCACTGTTTCCACCACCCTAAACATAAAGTCACATAAAAAGAAAGTTTTCACAGGGCAAGTATGAGCACCTCTGTAAAAGCAGACGTTTTGGCAATTTGTTTCTTTACAGTTTTCACGATTGTGTTAACACAATGCGACAATCTTCCCAGACATGGATGTCCCAGCAAATTCACTCCAAGGTCTGACTGTGCAAAGCTCAGAGAAATGGCCAAATCCCGGGAGCTACATCTGTGACTCAGCAGGTGTCAGTTTTCATGATAAATGTCAAAGTTTATAACAGTACTTTTTTTTTTTTTTAAACTGAACACACACGGCTCATTCTGAGGAGTTGCCAGGGAAAAGCCTTTCTTTCTTCTTTCTTCCAAAGGACATTGTGAAATAATGGACCAACAAGATCAAAGTGGCGATCCTATGATGCACAGTGCCACATTTGGGAAACCAAACACGGCACATCAGCTCAAACAACTAACTGCTGCAAGTGTGATGATTTGGGTTTGAAGTGAGTTTCAAATTGCCGTGAACAGAGAGGGTGCTGACGAAAAAAAACCCAACCCGGCTGCAAAATCAACAACTTCAAATTCAACTGACATTTAAAGCTCCCCACGTGGACAAGCAAAATAAGTTTTTTTGGTCACATGAGACAAAGATTTAGCAATTTGGCCACATTATTAGGAAGGACATTTGGAGGAATAAAGGTGAGGCTTTCAAAACTAAGGACACTGTACCACCTGTCACACAATTTGTTGGAATAATAAAGAATGAATTCTTCAACTTCACTCCAAATCAAACAGCAGACAGTTAAAATTTGGTGAAGTTGGGTGTTCCAGCAGGGCAATGATCCTCAAAACACAACAAAACTGGTTTTGGACTTGATAAAGCGGGCTAACATTGACCTTCTGATGGCAACCCAACTGAAAATTTGTGAGCAACACTTAAAAGCCAGGTCTGTGCCAGGAAGCCAGCTAGCTTAGATAGACTCTACCAATTCTGCCGAGGGGAGTGGTCAGCCTTCCAGACAGACTATGCTTGGTGATGGTTAACAAAAGTGTCTGGTTGGCGTCCAGCTTGATTTGGAACATTTAACCAAATACCAACAGGGTCTATCAATATTTTTATACTTTTAACCCTGTGTGCATTAGAATAAATTGGACTTTTTGCATCCAATTCTTCTTTTTTAACTGTGTATCTTATACAATCATTCCCACCTGAAAAAAGGAGCATTTTTAAAAAGCCAAAACTGCCATGACATTCATGCCCATGATGAGGGTATGTCAACTTTTCCCAACTGTATCCTCATGAATGATCTGTCTGGCTTTTGATTGCTGCTACATCTTATTCAAAATAAGCTTTGAAACAAAAGTGTACTAAAAATATTTGTGAAATTCAAGTTTATGTGTAGCTGTTTACAACTGAGGTTACAGAAGACGGTGGAATTCACTACAAAAGTAATATCAGGAAGTTGAGTTCGTCCCAGTGCGTGAGGCAGCTGTAGAGGAAGTGCTGATGTAATGTAAATGATGATAAACAGGCAGGGAGAGATCACTTTCTGTCTGTACATACAACACGTCTGTAACCAGGTGTTTCAGTCCTGATAAATGAGGAGCAGGGGAAAGGCGATAAAAAAGGAGAAGTACATCACTAGTCAGCTATTCACGACATTCTCTCTAATCCCAAGCATGTCTACATGTTAAGGCTGAGTTAGGTTACAGTGACGATGCTAAGATTTGTCTTAAAATAAGAGCAGTGTTAAAACGCTACCTGTAGATGAGAAATGTGTCAGAATCTGTGGGAGTAAACAGGAGGAAAGAGGAAAAAGTCGCGCAGCTGTGGAGCGAAATCTGATGCAAACAAGGACTAGACACGCATTATTCAAATAATGCTCTATTCATCTGTTATCACGAGCAATTATATTTGATAGGAATTAGAAAATAGTTTTCTCAGAAACTATCTTCACAAACAGCTGCCATGAAATTTATCTTCGAACATTTGTTTAAGGTGGAAAGATTATGTTCTGCCTTTTCTGCACTAGTTATATTGCAGTCACACATCAAAAGCTGGAGCTCGCCTTTGTTTGTGTTTAATGTTTGTTAACGTACGGAAGAATGTACCTGCAAGAACTGTTTGCTAAAAGCAAGAGGAACTTGAACCCTGTTGAATCACATGTGCAAAGAGACTTTTTGTGTTGCTAAAATACTTCTGTAGCTCTATGTCATTTATACAGTATGAGCAGATTTTATGTTTAGACATAAAAGAGTTAAACGTGCAAAGATTTCAGTCCGAACGTCAGTCGGTGTCTCTGCAAGAACCTCGGAGAGAGTTGGGAACATCTCCACTAAACTGTACAAAAAGATCACAACAACAGTCGTTTAATTTCTCTCAAACCAGGAAGTGAAACTGAAGCGCAAATTAAAAATAGCACCAAACCCAACTGTGATTCAGTGTTTGATCCAACAAAATCTAATAACTTCAGGAAACCATCAAGCAACACACAAACTTGTTCGATTTGCCAGAGGACATTTATTTGGTCGTTACAGATGCCTGCAGGTAAAAGTTTACCTTCAACTTGTCTCTAAACGCTAGTTTTCTGGGATATTTTCATTGTTTACCCTTTAAACTCTCATACAATCACATCTTTAAAATTATCTCTGCCGTCGTATCTTTCCCACACTCCGAACTCCAAAGAAGAAATAAAGGTGAGCTAAAAATAACTACATGGAAGTTTTACAGTGGGCCTCAACAACACCTGCTCGCTTCCTTCTCACTCCACCCAAAGTTATCAGACCATAAACCAAAATATAACAAACTTAATTAAACAGTACTTTACCATTTTCACGACTTGGGGACCCGTCTCACAGCTCAAGTCATGAGGATATGTCTTTGTTTCGGTCCTTGGATGCAAATGCTTTATAGATTAAAAGCGTGTGAGCCAGAGACCGTGTGAATCAGCTCTAGCTGGACTCATTTGCATTTCCTACCTGTAACAGTAAGAGAGACAGCCTCACCTGCTGCTCAAATGTCTGCCTTTAACTGACCTGCTGCACAGCTTGAACATGGCTCCAAATTTCCCTACCTAACAGTCATATAACCAACTGAAATTGCTGATTTGTTGCAGGCAGCAAAGGACATTCTCTTTGTATGCTGTAAAAATAAAATATTAACACGGTATATATGTATTTACTGAAGCTATTACTACTAACTAAATGATAGGACCTCGTTTAGCATGTGATGTTGAAGATACTTTTATTTACTTTATTGAACCTTCAGGAGACAAAATGCTGGCATCATAACTTTAGTGAAGGTGTCATTTCTTCTAGTACTATTATAAAAGAAAACTGTTTGTTTGTTTGTTTTTAACTAGGAAAGTGAAGGTTTAAATAATGCTTCGGTATGTTTTGATGAATCATCACTCAAATTTGGTGTGTAGTAATACACTGGATTATTAAAATACAAATGCCTTTACATTGGTAAAAGTAAACTATACCTTGTAAGAGTAAAACATTACATTTGCTGCTCTAACATAATAAAATTGTTCCCAGTTTTGACAGTTTAAATGGATTTTTAAACCAGTTTTGTTACTTTTTCCATCATTTTATAATTTTATTATTGTCAAATATCATTATTTCATTAGGAATACTTGAATTTCCATCTTCCAATGTATGTTTGAATTTTGACTATGAACCTTTCTGATTGATAAATAATTGATTGGTAGGGTTAAAAAAAAGAGGATGTGATTTAGAAACAGGCAATGTTAGATACATTAATTATCTCAACTCTTTATTAGGTGCACTTTGCTACTACTAAGACCCTCTTTTGCCTTCTGAAATGATTCAATTCTTGTGTCATAGATTCAACAAGGTGCTGGAAATGTTCCTTAGAGATTTTGGTCCATGTTTACGAGACAGAATCACACAGTTGCTGCAGATTTGTCGGTTGCACATTCATGATGTGAAGCTTCCATTTGACAGCATCTCGAAAGTGTTCTAATGGGTTGAGATCTGGTTACTGTGGAGGGCATTCGAGTACAGTGAGCTCATGGTCATGCTCAAGAAACCAGTTTGAGAGTCTGAGCTTCATGACATGGTGTGTATCCTGATAAATGCAGCAACCAGCTGGGATTGGTAATCTATGGTCATAAGGAAATGGACATGGTCAGCAACAATACTCAGGTGGGCTGTTGTGTTTAAAAAATTCTCAATTGGTACTAAAGAACACAAAGTGTGCCAAAGAAACAGCAGCAGCCTGAAACATTGATACAACGCAGGATGGATCCATGCTTTCATGTTGGTTGTGCCAAATTCTGACCCAGCTATCTGAATGTAGTTGAAACTCAGCAGACCAGCCACATTTTTCCAGGCTTCTACTGTCCCAGTTTAATGAGCCTGTTTCTACTTCCTAGTTGACAGGAGAGGTATCCAGTCCTGCTGTAACATTCCTGCGTTAAGGCTCCACGTTATACTTTCAGACATGCTCTTCTGCATACTTTGGTTGTAACAACTGTTTTTTAAGTTATTTCTGCACTCTAGCCTTTGATCTCTGTTAATGAGGCGTTTATATTGGGAGGTCTGCCACTCACCGAGTTTCTCCTTTGTGGACCATTCTCTCAGCAGTTTATGAAATACTCAGACCAGCTGGTCAGTCACCAACAACTATGTCAAGTTCAAAGTCTCTTAAATCACCCATCCTAATGCTTGTTTTGAAGTTCAGCTAGTTTTGATCAGGTCTGCATGCCTAAATGCACTGAGCTGCTGTCCTGTGATTGGCCAGATCGATATTTGTAGCCGTTGAACAGGTGTACCTATTAGGGTGGCTGTCGTTATCTATAAATGAGATTGAACATACTTAATTTCCTCCAGCAGAAAGAAAAAGATGAGCTTAAAATGATCTGATAAAATGATTTCAAATGTTATTTATTGACAATGGTGTTACTGAATATGAATATGGTAGAAAGGCAATAACAATTATCAAGCAACAATAAATTATCAAGTGGCAATACAGGGATAAGTAACATATTTAGATTTCTACAAAATAATATAAAACAAACATGAACATTAACTTAATACAAAACTTCTGAAATCCAGATTCTCACAAAAGACATGAGTTTCTTACAGATTTGAGTTTTGCAGTCAATAAGCAGTATACAATATATAATATACATGTTACATACAAGTATGGGCTCAGCCCAGGTGCAGCTGAAGGAGGACTCTTCCTAAGACACAGGTTTCCAGAATGAGGCAGTATTTCCTGTTACCTTCTCCCACAAGTTCAAATCTACAGCGCAACACAGCAGAGTGCCAAACTATTAAAATCTGCAAAAACAAGCAGAATCTGAACCAGCAGATTGTGGTTTGGATGAAGGCCCTTTTGTGAGCAAATGCAGAGTATTTTGCATTAAACTAATTAAGTAAATGTAGCTCTCAGCTATAAGACAAGTCCTCCTGACAAAGGACTTTAAAATGCCCTGTGGAGAAACATCCCCATGTGTTTTACTGTACTCTGCAAAGTAAAGGCTTGCTTTGAGTGAAGATTAAAAGTGCTTTTGATCTTAAGCGTGCCACTGTGTCATTTTTGTATAAACCAGCATAAAGTCAACCACAAAAAGCAGAGGGATATCCTTAATTTTTTTCCTATTTATCTAGATAGGTTAACTGCCAGTGCTCAGGAGGGGAAATCAGCTTTAAAACCTCACAGAAAGAAGGTAAAAAATGTGTTTTCAGTTCATCTTTTCACTTTCACACTGAAGACTGTAACGAACATAAAAACCCAGGAGCACAAAAACTCCTGATTGAGGTCTTTTGTGTGTGTCTCTGTAGAAATGGCCATTATGACTTAAGCTTTCTGTCTGGTGGGATCTAGAGCCAGCCCTCAACAGTCCAGTGGGTGTCTCAGTCTGTCAACTTAATGATAAACATATTTGTTCCACCCTCTGCGTTTAGTCTCCAGCATCTCATTTGCATCTTCTTTTGATTTAAACCGGGTTTGCTTTAACTATGTTGTTAATCCAGTCAATGTAATTGGTGACACGGGTGTAGACTCCAGGTTTATCTCTCTGCCCACACCCATCGCCCCAGCTGATCACACCCATCAGAGTCATCCTGTCATTGTATCTGCAGACAAGCGGGCCACCAGAGTCTCCCTGTAATTGAATCCAAGAAGCAAATTTAAGGGAAAGTGTAAAGAAAATAAAAGTTATAATGTTATGAGCATGATTTAACTGTGAGGATAAGTGTGGGTGTTCTCACCTTGCAGGCGTCGTCCAGGCCTCGAGTGTCACCAGCACACAGCATGTTTGAGGTAACTGTGCGTCCAGACAGCACCCCTGGGACACAGCGCTCTTTGGGCCACAGGCGAACATAACCTCTCTTAACACGCTCAGAATACTGTGGAGAAACTGTGAAGAGAGCGTTGCATTCGTTTAGATTGCCTATACTGTCCCCTGCTGCTCAGATACTTAAAATGACACCAACTTGTCTGTGCGATAAGTACAGTAGTAGCCATAAAAAATGAAGAAAAAAAAGGCTATGATTTAGTTTTCTTACATTCTGCGTCTTTTCCGTAGCCTGAGATCTCACACTCAGTCCAGTCGGGCAGCACCAGCCCACGTTCGGGCAGACACGCCGGAAGAACTTCTGGAGAGTTTACAGCACAGATGCCAACGTCCGTCTTAAGTTTCAAAATAGCTGCAAGTGGAAAGTGACCAAAGGAAAGTCAAGGCAATGCACTGGGAAAATGTGGGATGAAGACTGAGAGTTGAGTTAAAGTTTTAACAAGCCTCTGCTGCCCACTTAAGCTTCCATATCATTACTGCTGGAGGAAAACAAGTTCACTAAAGCGTCTCATTCTGTTTTCATTATTAACATTGAAGTATGACTAAAGTAGCCTCAATTCTCCACACAAACAGTTTGACTAAGAGCTCTTTTTTTAGTCTGGCAATGATTGTGTGCTTTTAAAGAGGACCTTGGTGCATCTTTTCAGGTCATGCTCTTAAATTAGACATTTTTGGCCCCTTTCACCCTACTTTCTTGCAGAAAGTTTGAAATACAGTCGGGAGGGGCTGCTGTGGCTAAGACCAAATCATACAAAGCCAACAGCTCAAAGACATGACCAAAAGTTCAGTTGTGTATTTGTGTCTCTGGATTAAGGGACAACACAAAGCGATACCTTTCTTTGCACCGACTATGAAATTAATCTTAAGTTTACGCACTGTATTGAAAACCTAATTTGGGCTATAGGTTTAAACTGCTGTGTTTAAAAGTTTATTTTTAAACTTTTATATTAATAAATGAAAAGTGCGAAACAAAGTTAAAAACGATTGGATTATTGTTTCTGTTACAATGAAATGTTCACTCACCAATGTCATTGTCGTATGTTTCCCTGTCATATTTCTCGTGGATCCAGAGTTTCTCGACGCTGAAAATCTGCTCGCTGCTGGAGTTCTGTTTCCGAAACGTTCTCCCCAAAATTACTTGCAGTTTATTTACATCGTTTCTGAAAAGACAGAGCGCACTCGTTTGTTTGCTATATGGCAAACACGTTCGACTAGTGTTTAGTGTATGTGCGTGCATGCGTGAAAGCTGGAAGTCAGTGCTACCTTTCTTCAAAGCAGTGTGCAGCAGACAGGAGCCAGCAGGAGTCAATGAGGATTCCTCCGCATAGATGAAAGTGCTTTTTGTGACGGGGTTGGTAAAAATTAATGGCCGCCTGCCACGGCTGCTCCGTGATTTCACTCCCTCTGCCTCCAAACATGCGGGACGATGGTTGGGATAAAGTGTTGTCTAAACGCTTGCCACATGTTCCTACAGAAGAGACAGGTTGGAGAATGATGGTTGAACAACAGTAGGATTAATCGACACCCAGAAGGAGGGACTTTTGGTTATGTCTGAGGTGTTTTCACTGGCTGTGAAGATATCCTACCTCTGTTATTGTTATTAGTGGTGGGAGCACGCGGGTCAAGAGTGGGCATAGGCGGACGTCTCGCTAAAGAAAGGAAAACTATGGTTATCCTCAGTCTCAATATTTAACTTCTGTCTTTGCTATCGCTGCCAAATGAACTCATTGATGTAAAGGAACTCACAGCATTTTGGTACGTCGCACAGCTCCCAGGTCAGAATCATATTTTTGTAGGTGTGACACCATGGACCTGCGTCATTGTCTGGATTCCTGTTGAATAAAAAAAGAGATTTTTTTTTATTTAAAAGGAGAACATCAAATGTACTGCAATTATAAGGAAGTTAAAATAGGTGCTGGCCTATGTACCTGCAAAAACTGTGGCTGCCCAGTCCGAGCTCCAATGCGTCCGTTCTCCAAGCATTGTACATCTTGCGCTTGACAGCGGGAGAGTCCCACGGGAGGCAGCGAGAGCCGCTCTTGGTGACAGATGCTGTGCCTCGGTATTGCTGGCCAGAGCCGAGCGCACATTCTCTGTGCTTATCTGCTCCAAAGAGCACATATGGACAGATGTATGTAAGCCCACATTTAATGGTATTTGATCTTTCTACATGTTAGGATTTTGTATATCTATACCTTCTGGACATCTGGGCAAAGAACAGAAGTCCCATTCAATCTGTGTGCCTTTATAGATGTAACACCAGGGAGAGCTGTCACCGTCAGGGTTCCTGACATAAGGAGAAACACAAAGACAATAAGGGAACATCTTCATAGCTTCCGTAAAAGGCTCGGATATTATGTTTACAAGTCTACTCCAGTATTTGTTAACACCAGGCCACCAGCTTTCAAGACGAACAATCCCAGTCTTGTTATTTTTTATAGATAGCAAATGAAATATTCACGCAGACGCTCCAGCACAGGTACCTGCAGAAGTTGTGATTGCCCAGTCCAAGGCTGACGGCGTCTGTTTTTCGAGCCGTGAACTTCTTTCCTCTCAGAGACGTTGAGTTCCAGTTGATGCACTCTGCTCTTGATTGGCTGACACTTGCGGTGCCACGGTACCCATCACCCTGCCCCACAACACACTTCTCATTGGTGTCTGTTGGAGAGAGAAACAGACAGTGGTAGTCGCTAATTTATATATGAGACTGATATTAACGTAATAACTGGTCTGAGTAATTTTTTCCGACATAATACGTCTTGTTCTTGTTTTTTTCGGGGGTTTTTTAGATTTGAAAAAGCTTTAGACTATTAAAAAGCTTTTGGATAAATTATGAAACCATTGTTATTACTTACATAAGGCTTTAAATTTGTGCCCTAATAGCATTTATATCGCCGTTTTCCAATTAGTGGTTTTAAAACAGTGACCAAACATAACCTATGATGATTGTAAATGCATCAGATTTATAGCCTGGCCATATTAACTTGTAGTTTTTTTTGCTAAAATCATTTGCCTGTGACCGCTGAAGTTCAGATAATTATTCCACTGAGAGGGTGGAGTGTCCTTCAAGTGATTAAAAGTGGGCCACAGAAACAAAAACATTCATATCCCAGAATGTCTTTCCATCCTTTATGATCCTTATGTCTTCCCTCCAAACCACAGGCCCATGACACCAGTAGTATGAGTCACACAGTCAGACTGTGATCTTATCAAGAGTTACTAACAAGCTTTAATCAGGCCACCAGTTTATGGACACACCCGAAGTCACTGCTGCTTTAAAAGCACAGTACAAATCAATCGCATGTGTTTTGCTCCAGCTTGTAGTGCTATTTGTCTATTTTAGGTTGTTTAGGTGTGACCTGTCCAGTATTGGAGACTCTGGTTATTGAAATGTTGCCTTGTCCTAAATATAAGTGACACTCGCCTTATGGGCCTCATAGCTGTAAACAAAAAAATCATCTGAAAAAGTCAATGTTTCTTTCCAGAAATTGTGACTTTGTTGCTCATGAACATCTACAAATTTCATGTAAGAACTACACATTACACCTACAGGAGCTGCTGGGCCATGGAAACCCATGCCATGAAGCTCCTGGTACACAATATTTATACTGATGTTAATACTGGAGGAGGTAGAAAACACCTGAATTTAAAGCCAACCTATAAACACCGATCATATAAACCATTGGTAGTGTCCATCTACCCATGATAAAAGGTGTATTCTTGTGACAGAAAGGAAGGAAATACTGAGTGCAACCACCCTTGGTTGAGCTGTGTTGCAGCTTCTTTGGTTTGGCAACAAAATTTGGTAGAACAAAATTAGTTATTACTATAAAGTTTTCACAACAAAGTTTGTGGATTTCTTTCCTTTTTTTATTTACCTATCATTTGAGTCACTTAGGTCACCAAAAAAGTATTACTGGCGAGTTTTATGTTGAAAACTTGGAGTGAACTCTTCTTTTACAGCTTTTTCACTGTTGCTTTTTTTTCTGTTCTGTATCTGTAAACTGAATATTTGTGGGTTTTTTAATTGTTAATTAGAAAGAATAAGATTTTTGGCACTTTTGAAATTGAAATGAAAACATAATTAAATGATATTAATTGTTATTTTTATATCTCTGGTCGTTGAGTAGCTGAAAACCCACGGTTTAGGTGTTTCTTGAATACTCACTGATCTCACACTGAGCCCCAGTGAAGCCTCGGGGACACTGGCAGATGTAGTCTGAAGTGTACACGGCTTCCTTGCAGGTTCCTCCATTATAACACTGAGACACGTAGCAGTCTGGAAGAGGCAGACAGAGAGCCGTTTAGTCAGCCACACGTCATCCACTAACAGTTTAAATAGTTGGTATATGAAGGATGTGCCATGACCACTGTACAGATTGGGTTTGAGGCTTATGTGTCATATACTACAGTGAAACATTGAGGATCATGCAAAAGTCTTTGTGCATGGTTCGCCCGGACTTTCTTGTTACTTGTAGTAAATATCATCATAGTTTCTTTTTGAAACTTTTTCTGTCAGGTCAAGGATTTCTCTGTAGAGCAGAAGTGGTTTCATGCCATCTGCAGTCCTCGTTTTCATTTATTATTTCAACATTTCCTAAAGGCCGACGCTTAGAATAACAGCTCTGCTGTCACTCCCAGTGGTATGAGCTCACAGATGTTGCAGTTTGGCAGACTGAAAATGTGGTTGTAATTTGACTGAGGGAGGGGTAATCAGCCTTCACAGAATTCGTCAGTGGGGGTGAAAGTACGCACGAGGGCATGTCTGGAGAATCCAGTTCAAATAATCTCAGACTAAACGACGCCCACTCAAAAACACAGAAAACCCAGCAGCTCTTCGTTTGGATGCACTGAAATAACAGGGATTTGGACACGTAACCGAGGCAAGCCAACAAAAAATAATCATTTGAGGTTATAACAGCCCGTTAGAGGTGAAGTGAAGTTATAATAGAAGGCAGAGGGCAGTGAGGGCAGGAAAGAAGACTGACAGACAGATAAACAAATAGTACATTTAAATTCTGCTCAATGGAAACAAAGAACTGATTAGAAAAGTCAGTCAGACAGTCTCCTTGTGTTTGTGTGTATGTGCATCCATGTCACACTCACTGATTACGGGCACAATATGACAACGCGCTCGTCCTCCTAAATCACAACGGCAATACTCCACACGCTGTCCCTTCCATTGTAGCCAAGTGTCCCCAAAACCACGCACAGCAGACGTCTCACTATCCATGCAAAGTACTGAAAACACCACACAAACATAAGTATACAGCCAATAAAATGATACAAAACACAGAAAAACATAACTGTCATATTGTTAGAAACATAAAAACACAGGAGGGAGGAACACAAACACGTGGCTGACAGCAAAAAATGAAAAGACTGATGATTATGAAGAAGACGTTTGTGTTATTAGAGGAGATGAACAAAAGTGCAATGAAGCTCACAGGAGGTGTCAGTGGAAGGTGAAGACTTCTGGACATGAATAATCAAAAGCGTCCTTCTGGCTGGCTGCCTGTAAGGCTCACCTCTGTAAAAACGAGTCCCTCTCTTAGTGCGTATAAGCTCCACCTGCAATAGAAAGGAGCAGTAAAACATGGAGCAGACATGCATGGCAACTGGATGAACGGCTTCAGCCTCCAGCTCAAGCAACAGTCAGCGTATGAACTTCACATTAGACAATTTAAAATAAAATGCTGATGAATGCTATCGCTAGTCAGTGGCACACTGTCATACAGCAAAAACACAAATTCAAACACATTAAACGGACTAAATGTTTGCTCAAGTGGATAATAAACCACAGGAATTGGACTGTATTGAGATAAGCCCTTGTAAAATATGCAGTATTTTCAGTAGTTTGAAGACAGCTTATGGTACTGTTCTGTAGTACTTACATTGTCCGCTAGGCAGCAGCAGAGAGCAGAGAGGAGCGCGATTAGTTCCAGTGACCTGGTCATGGTTTTTCCAGAGGTCTTCTGTTTGCTGGAGTGAGGAAACACATGCACATATTAGAAGCAGTTTTATATGGACATATGGATGGATCAGGGAATAAAACACAGACAAAGAATAGCATACATTGGCAGCTACGTGACTGTGTTTACAATGGTTTATGAGAAATATAAAAATTATGAATAGTCATTTCCTAAAGCTGTGAAATAGGTCATAAATAAAGACAAAACCGACTCCTTCTTTTTCCACTTTCTCTCAAAGTTAATGTGTTCTTTGCATATCGAGACATTAACCATCGCTGTCATTGTCACTACGTACACACAGTGAAAACACTTGCAGCTGTGCAAAAACCGGAACAATTCAGATCACTTCAAATATTCGACATTCAGCCAGGTGACTGACTTGAAAGTGAGGTCATGTTCATGTTAATCTAAGCTTTTCTCCTTAATCTGTCACCAATACTAAGCCAACAATCACAGGAAAATGATGAACACTGGTCATTGTTCCTTCCTCCATCCCTAAGCCTGTTTCTGAGAGGAAAGGGTGGGGGGAGGTGGGGTAGCTGTGGGAACCTGGGGGTCATTCCTTGTTTCTTGAAGCCGAGCTGACTTCTTGACTCAGAGAGGAAGTTTTAGCAGCATTTGCAGAGCTGTCTCATAGGAAAGTGAATAAACTCAATGCTGACCTATATTCAGTTCTCTTATTTTTACATTCCTATGAGGCCATATCATCCTATTTATCTAAAAATTTACATACCAAAAAATACTCTATTATCACTATCTGTCATTTAATCTACTTCTTTCCCATTGAGAATAAACAGGACACAGATAAAGTCTCTAAAAAAAACTAAAAGCGTGATCGCCACATCAAACAACACAGTCCAGACAGCCCTCGAGCGATGAAACGCAGCACACTAGAAAAACAGTTTCTGAACCATCCCGTGAGCTTTCCTGCTCTACCAGAGCAAAGCAGCAGCTGTGTGAGGACAAAGTGACTCAGAACTTCAAAGGGAAGTTCAAGGAAAAAACAAAAGACCAAGAAAAAGTAACTAAATTTATATTTCCTTTTTTTGTTTGATATCCACACTTGCTCCATTTCTGTTATAGAAGAGTCTAATTATGCAGAAAAGTGGTGGAGAGGAGCATCTGTAGCTCCTCAATCAAGTGTGAGTAAACATGAGTCACAGAAGAAGGAGGGGTGAGTAGAAGCAGGAGTAGAAAGAAAGAAAAAAGGACAACACTGGACACAATTGACCTGAAAAGTTAAAAAATATCCATATAAAGAATTTCCAAGTGATTTTAAAATAGTCCAAAAAATCTCTGACATGAACAAGCATGCAAAGACCCAGACACATCTGCATACATTTTGCCCTCTCTTCTCTTTTGGCTTGTTCTTCACTGAATCACCTTCTGCGGTTGACTGAGCTAATAGAAAACTGCATTGTGTTTTCATATATTAGTATATATGAAACACACACACACACACACACACACGCACAATGTGCTCAGGAACGTGGAGCTAGTCAACACTCCCACACACAAAGATTTAGTGTTCATTCTCCTCATTGTCCTTTGAACAAAGACTCCCTCTCAGAGTTTGACTATGAAAACACAAATTCACACACTCACCATTAAGAGCGCAGGTCTCTTGGAGGCTGTTCTTGACTCTGACAAATAAAAACCCTGTTGTCCTGTGCTGTAACCCCCACAGTGGAACCTCACTGGCAGGGCGACAACAAAACACTACTTTCTTTTTTGTTTCCTTTGTGCAGCTGTTCAGCTCAGTGCAGTCGCCCCTCTTTCTCTCTCTGGCCCTGTCAGCTTAAAACATGTGTTTCCTGCTATAACACAACCAGCACAGGCCCCATGTATTTAGGAAACGGGTGTACATATCAACACACGCAAGCACGAAAACACTTGCCGACAAACACTCATCGGATGTTAACATATGTGTATCCACCCTTTCTAGTATATCTTTCATGCGGAGGCCCAGTTGGGGGCCATAAAAAACAACATTCCTTTGGTAATCTTACAGTACAACTATATGTTTTCATATGGTCAGTTTTACAACTTTTAATGCATCTATGTGGATAATAATGCAGAAGCATGGACAAAAAGTCAGACATTTATCTGTCTGGCCTATTTTAATCTGTTTTTAACTAAAAAGTGGCTATTTCAAAAGGAAAATATGTGATATGACTTAAATTTTATGTTGTAATAATAATAAAAGTGTAAAATATGGAATCTTATTACAGTATTCCAACTAATTACAGATATCTATGTAGTCTTTGGTCCACAGCAATGATCTTATAACAGTTTATAACCCTAGCTGATCTAAAACAGTATCCTAAGCAATAAATAGCAGTAAACTCTAAATGAGACACAATACAGCTTTCTGGCACTGAGAGGCTTAACACACTGGTCTGATACACCCAGACTTTTAGTGGCTTAAACATGTACAACCAAGTATGCACTCTGTGGAGAGTGTGGTTCCCCCAGTTAGTAGGTCAGTTATGAATGGAAGAAATGAAAGCATTTTCAGAGTAGCAACAGTCAGACTGTGAGTCATAACAGCTGCTATGAGTTGCAGCACGTGAAAACAGCAAACATATGCAGCAGATGATAAGATGCACACAGACACAAACACGCACATAGAGCAGTTATGTTCATGCTACTTTGGTGTTTTTAAGGAATCGGTCTTAAGTGCTGTCCACGGTCTTTGACATCAGATTTTTCAGCAAAAATTAGTAGCAACTGAGTTTAAAAGGGGTCAGACATGCTTGTCTACTAGAGACAACGCTGAAATGTTAAAGTTAGAGACTGTGAAGGAACAAAGTTTACACCTCTGTGTGAAATTCAAATTTACTGAGTATTTTGAGCATGTTTGTGGTCACTCTTCCCGTCTCTCATCTACACAAATATCACACTTGATACTTAATAAAGTAGTGAAGAGTGGGAGGACTGCTCACACTGGTGCACATGGGGGAATTAGCAGAGGAAACACCTTTACAGCGTAAAAATTTACAGTTGGTTTCTTACTGGTATTTCTCAGAAGAGGTTCTGAACTTTAAAGCGTTGAACAGGTCTGACCTGATGGTATTACTGAGTCTTTACCATACTTTCAGTAGGTATTGTTCTTTTGAGTAAGAGGTTTGCATGTGTGTAGAGTGACTGTTAGGATCTGTCATGGCATATGATGTCATGTAAGATGTTTCAAAGGTATTATGCATTCTTTACTCGGGGGATTTCAGTCAAGCTTCAACAAAGCAGCTGTGATCTGGCTCCATAAACTCCCACAGAACAGACAGCAGCATTGTTGCCTTCCCTCTGTGTGCAATATGATACTTTGCAATCTTTATCGGAATGAAACCCAAGCTCCTAAAATGAAAAAATGCAGGTTATGGGAGCATGTTAGAAGTGGCGAGATAGTGGAATCTGAGACAGCTATGCAGGACAGGATGCAAGGATGAAGACCTCAGAAAGAAAACAAAGAAGGGCAAAAAAACAGCAGGGTGTTCTGGGGAATTAAATCCCAGAGGTCAGCAGAAAGAGAATGACTCCTCCTGAGTCACGCCAGCTCGAGGTGTGCAGAGACACATGTAGGCATTGATGTATTTTACATCCAGTCTCGAGGCCATTGTGTGAAGTAAATGAAGGTTTGGTCAGAAAGGAAGACTACAGATTTATAAGAAGAGTTTTATCCAAAAGCAAAGAATTACACACACTGTCCTCTGCCTAACCTGCACTCCTAACTTAAAGCTGTAAGACCCCAGGTGCTGATCCTATGACTCACAAACATAAGTGTAAGGCAAAAATCCAGTTGACCACACTGCCAGGAATGCAGATACCAGTTACAAACTCTACTTTCTCTCAGCACACAGCAGTACAGATTATCAGTGTGATGGACAACATCAGCGCTGACAGATGCTAAGGAGGAGAACGATCTCAGAGTGCCAGCTCAGACACAGATCCAGTTCATTAGCCCCACTCGACTTGGCTCAAGCTGGTACACAGAAACACATACTGAGGCGTTGTGGAATCCAGCTTGATAATACACACACAGTCCAGCAGCAGAGCATGATATCACCATGTTTTAAAGAAGCTGTACAGCAATTTGTGTCAGTTTTGATTACGCAAATTGAAAAGTGCTGTATGTGATTTTAGACTCCCACCAAACTTAGCAGGTGGAGGAGGATGCAGAGAGCTGCTGAGGTCAGGGTGAGAAAAGTATGAGATGTTCCACATAAATGACTTCATAGGCTGCAAGATAGTTTTTTTTCCTCACACAGCTTACCCAAAACTTTTATGAGTGGTGCTGTAACGTGCATGACATTAAATAGACAAAGAAAAAAAGTCACACCTTAACCGACATCCTGTATTAGCTGAAACACTTGTTAGTACAGTTTTGGCTGTTTATGCTGTACTATTATTCTAATTATTTGGATCTATGGCATTATATAGTTTGAAAGAGACACCTTAATATATCTCTATCACAAGACTACACACCAGTTAAAAAAATGTTCAATTCCTTTTGATTACTTTTTATAAAACATGATAATTAATTCCAATTGACACGTTTAGTTGGAACCGCGCAAAATCCCTGCAACACTATTATCATCATCATATAAAGCGGATCCAATTAATTGAATAACCTTTAATAATTACTGTTTCATAATAACGAGCGAGAGGGAAACGTAGTAAAACCGAGTTTGTTGCAGGAGAATCCTCTGGTGCATGTAAACCTCCACCGCGGTGACATCTTAATACAAAAGAGGAAAAAAGGTCTTACCAGACACGAAATCTTCTGAAAGGATCTCTTCTCGGTGTCTTTGCAGTAACTCTGAGTGTTCTTGTATTTGCCGCTCGGACTGAGCTGGTTGTCCCTCCGCTCCAAGTTTATACCGAAGCGCTCCGGTCCGACCGGTGCTTCAAGGGAGCAGGCTGACGTCAGGGATGTCGGCCCCGGCCCGGATGATGCTTGATGATGCAGCCGGGTGGGCGGGACCATTCCAAGTTAACAAGTTTTATTCTAAGGTATTTGATGAGGAAATCTGCATTCGTCATTTCTTTCAATATAAATACGCCTGGTTTTATGCACGTTTGCATAAAATAGATCAATATAAACGACATGCTATTGTTTTCAAATGTATGCTATTTATTATTTATAGGAGAATCTTAATGTGTTTACATTTCAGGACAACACACATAAAATGTGTGTGTAACAGAAAAAGAGAGACATATGCGCGTTATAAATGTTTTTAAACATTTTTAATAGATAGATGGTCTAGTTAAAGGATGTAAAGGATGTATGTTTACATACAGTGAATGCTATGCAAATGTGTTGCTACCGCGTTTTTATTATTATTATTATTATTATTATTATATTTTATTTTAGTTGGAGTGCAACCAAACCGAACAAAAACTACTGAAGCTTTTAAGCAGACGTGTAAAGTGAAAAAAAAAACACTAGTAAACAGCTCATTCTTCACACAGTAGGTCGCCTCTGGGAGGCTGTGGTGGGTTGTGGGTGGTACTATATCACTGTGGCTAACCACCTGGCACCAGGAGCCCTTTGTGACAACCACAGTCCCCCTTTATTCAACCCATCCCTTCCTCAGGAAATCAATCATTTAGCCTGAAAAGTAGCTCCATGTCGTTTTCAGAACACTTAAGGTTTTTATTTTCTTGGAATAATCCATGTTCATTGTTTTTATTGGCTGTTAAATCTACATTAAATTGCTGAAAATACAACAATTTGGGGTGTAATGGCTTAGGGGGGAAGTTAGTTTGGCGTCTGTCCCACTTTGTCTTCATCTGTGTTGGATTACAATTAGCTCTCAAGTCTCATTAAGGAAAATCACAAACAAAGACACATATTACATATAAAGTACTTCAAGAACACAATCTACTACAGAGGAATAAGTCAAAAGTTACATCAGGTCATGTTACAACACAAGACTCTTATCTCCTTGAAATTCTTATGAAACTGACCAATTAAGGCATTCTTCCTCTTTTGTGTTAAGTAATGAAAAAAATTACGCACCTTTTTTCTTATTTTGTTTGTCCTTATTTACATTGTGCCATAAATGGTAAGGTATTTGTAAATCATGCAGAGTAATTGTAGCATCTGCACAAACCACTGTTTTAAACATTTTAGTTTGCTGTCTTAATGTGTGGGTAGATGTTTTTATAATTCCTGGAGCTCGGATGCTGCAAATCCACAATCAGGGTATCGAGTGTCACATAAAATGAATACGAGAAGGTTTCTCAGACACAGTTCACAGTTACTGATTTTCCTTGGCAGCAAACCTGAAATAGAGTGAAAAAGACGACTGTGCAAAACTTAGACATGTGTTTTAGTACAAGTTTTAAAAAAAACGAAAGAAAAACTGTAATATAGAAATATTCCAGCATATAAGCCTGCAGTTTTTTATTTTGTTTTTATGGATGAAGCAAACAAAACATAACAAGGTAAACAGCTTTAACATAATCCGATGGGCAAACATTTTGTGCATTCATGAGCTCTACCAGTGGAAACAAGATAGTTTACCTAATTTTGATCATATTATTTGCTTTTTAAAATATTCTGAGGCACTCTGTGCTGATAGAAACCTTCAGTTACAAAATTTTACTTTTAACTAATGGTTATAAATGTTATTACATTTTAGCAAATATTAAAGAATAAAAAATGTAACTTTGCACACATCAAAACTTACTTACTGTGAACTAGATATTACATTTTTCACTTACCATGTTTTTTGTAAGTATTAACCATGTACCTCAATTTTCTCTGACTTTCCAGTGTTTGTAGTTCGATAGACAAGGAATAATTTTAACAAGCTGAGGATACAGCTGTTTCTAAGCCAAGACAGACTTGCCTTAGA